GAGATATGAAGCAAAGCACAGATATTTCAAGCAAATGGCATCCATTATGGGAAATTTTACGAACATATGCTATTCATTGTCCCTTCGTCATCAACTTTACCAATGTTATTTGAATTTAGCAACTGAGGACTTACCCGAGGAAAAGTTGGAAGTTGGTCAAAGTATGAATTGTTCATGTCTTAAGTATTACTTACATGTAATTGTCATCTATCACTGGTGGATTTAGAAAAATTAAAAGGGGGTTTGCCATTAAGTGGGTGTGGCTCGTTAATTTTAATTAAAAGCATAAATATATTAATTAATTATAAAATGGCTGCAAAAACAAATTCCTCTGCAAAAGGGGTGTTCCATTGAACCCATATATCCCCCTGGATCTGCCACTGTCTATAGCTGGAAATATTTTTGTGATTTGCTGCTCGTTGTACATAAATGATGAAAGATCTATTAACTGCTGACAGCATGCAACATTAATAAATTTTGCCAAAAAATTGCAAAAGTTTCCAACTACATGTATGCACTATTATTATTATTTTATGTAGGTATAAATGTGATTGTACCACAAAGGCAGTTTTATTATGAAACTGAATGGATTTTATCGACTGAAACTCATGCAAAGTATATATATGTATAATCAGCAAATTAGTTACAATTAGAAAACTTGATATCTATATTGTTTGAATATGATATACTATATACAAGAAATTCATTACTTACATGTGTAAAAGTTTTAATTGAACCAAAATTGAATTACAGTTTACAATATTTTTAGCATCAATCATTTTTATAGAGTTTCATGGGCAAAAGAAGAAGGTGTAACTTACCAGATTGGAGCCTGTGTTATTGTTGACAAAAAGGATGATATCGTATTTGGCAAGATAAACAATATTTTTGTAGTACAACATCAAGTCCTGTTAGATGTCCAGCTATTGACAGTAGAATTCCATCAACACATCAATTCATATATTGCTTCCGACAGCACAACTTTTAGCGTATTTGTTTGGGCTCAAGAACTTCTTGATCATCATGTATATGGTTTGTACTTAAATCCTGATCGATCAAATACAGTTGACACAGATAATTATCGTTATATTATTTTGAAATACAGTGTTATTAAAGTTTAATAATGTATCAGTGTTGCTGTAGCACTCTTGCTGTTACTGTCAAAGCATAGGTGTGGCCTGGAGACCAATGTGTCATTAAGACACCACCAATAGAAGGATAAGTGTTATGACAACACCTATTTTTTAACAGTGTACAAGAGGTTTATTACCAAATCATTATATGTACCAGTGTGAAGCAGTGCTCTAGTGAAGGTACTAATTACATGGCATATACAAGAGAACAGAAAAGCAGTAAAAATCATCCTTGTGAAGTTGAACTTGTGTATGTGTGGCCAACAGACTGAAACGACAAGAGGAGATGGATTACTGGCCTTGTGAAAAGGTCTGATCTACTCTCATGTAATCTCCATAATCACCTCTTAAACAATGAATCAAAGGTGCCATCCAAAGTAGTAAGTGATATTAAGAAGGCAATTGACAGTGGCAACAAAGTAACAACTCATGACATAATCACTGGTAAGTTAAGTGGAAAATTTAATGTATGATGAAGTTTCACTCCTCAGAAATGAAGAACTGTAAGATTGCACATTTTTCTTTTTTAATAGGACAAGGATTGCCTTATATTCCAGGCACAGCTTTACTTGCTGCAATACACAAGGGCAAAGTAGCTTATATCAGGGCAGCTACACAAAGGCACACAAAAGATGAAGAAGTTGTAGTTGTCCCTTTTGAAGATGAGAGTGAAAAGTTTGACCTGGAAAGTAAACACAAGTTTGGCTTTCTTGGTAAGTGACATAGTAAAACTAAGTTTGTACATATTTAATTTTTAAATAGAACATATAGAAGAATATCAGCATTTAGGCCATCCCTACATTTGTGATTACTCACTAAAGCCATCTGTGACATGGGTTCAAACAATGAGTCCCCAAGTGGCACATATTTTTGGCAAAGCTGAGTATATTTGTCGTTGATGCTACTTTCAATGGTTTAATTCAACTGGAGTATGTATTTAATGTTGTAACATTTGACTACACTACACTACTTTGTAAGTATTCTACATTAGAGTTACATGGTATACATGTACATATTGTCACTGATATTGTACAGGTAGTAGTTGCTCGTGTTCGTCTAAACCAATTGGATGCAGAGACGTATAAATGTGCATTTAAAACTATTTTTTCAGTGAAGAAACAAATAAAAGGATTTGATGTAGAGAAAAACACTTAATGGAATAATAGCTGATTGGTCAGATAACAGTTACAAGTGCTTGAGCTAGCTTTTTGAAAAGAATTGGCGGAAGTCGTTAAGAGATGTCAAGTAAGCAACATTTACATTATTTAACTGTTAGTTATATCCTTTCCCTGGTCCATTATCAACAATCAGTAAAAAAAGTTGCTGAGAAATTGAGCAAAGGATGTACAATAAGATATAAGTTGTTTAAATCTATTGTCTACTCTATACCTCATGTTACAACACAATACCTTTATTGATGTCTTGTGTGGGAAACAGATTCTTTTGGTAGCCATTAAAAACTTATTACATGTCCCTGTACACTCTGAATACAGCAGTACTCATAATATGGAACTTTGGAAATCTAGTTCTAACTGTTGTGAATGGTGGAACAGGCCTACTCATCTCAGTAAGTCACCAAGTATACACGTAAATGTCATTATTGCTCAATCGGAGAAATGCTGACATCTTGCTTCTGACATGAATTCCCAAATCTTTGACATGCTTCTGATATGAATTCCCAAATGTTTGACGAGTTACCATTATCAACAAATGCAGTTGAATGTCACAATCGCTTGGGTAAATCTTTTTATCAATTACTATTGAAAGAAGCAATGATGGTGACCTACTGCGAAGATGCTACCTAATGCCTTCAAATAATGGCTGTTCAAGGAATTAGGACACAATATGACAATCATACACCTGTTGGTTGTAATAAGTGTGCACAGCAACAAAATAGTGCAAGAAATAGCAGCTTTGTTGCTTACCAGATAATGATGATTTGGGACCAGCAGATAAGAAAAATGATTTCCTTCCAGGTACAAACAATTGAACTTATTGAACTTATGTTTCAATTCTCACATATCAGTCAACCCCTTCTTGTCAAGACAAAGGTGCTATTAAATTTAAAAAGTTGTATAGTCGGTTCAAGTTGATTTGCCCAAGTACCACCACTTATAACTTTTTAATCACTAATGCTAGCAACCTGAAATTTAGTATACTTGCAAAACGGGTTCTTCCAAAAATCTGTACCAATTTTTGAGTCTCTAGGTACTCTGGAAAGTTCTGAATGGGTTCTTCTGCTCTAGTTCAAAGGGAGCCGCCATGATGAATCATTACGTGAAGGCTACGTCACACTTGTGAATATCATTTGCATTTCATTACTATTAATGTTTTTTTATTTATAAAATAAAAGCAAACAAATAAGGTCCTCTAGAGAAGCTAATAATCAACTAGCAGACCTTGCTACTGGAAACATACTGCTACATCTGTCTACAGCCTTCTTGGTTCTAGTTATTCTTCATCATCCTCATCTTCTGTATCCGAGGTTTTTGTCAACTTTATAACAGAAAAAGGTACAACCAGTGATAATTAAAGGTAGTAGTATCCAAAGCAAGGATAAAACAGATGACAAAGAGTCTTAGAGGTGAAGAAACACTCAATAAAAGAGCTTGCTTGCACTGTACCACCATTTTTGGGTGTGGCTAGTAGTGACGTTTTGATGATACAAGAATTGATTTACTTCCTGTGACAACTCAACTTGAACCGACTATAGAAGATAAAGAAAGTGAAATTGAAGGTATCAATAAGTTAATCGTGACATTATATGCATATCTCAGTTTAACCCTATAGTGCCTGTTACAGTCAATAATGACCCCATGAAATAGCTAATTTTTGTTGTGTCTTCATTTGGAAACTGAGCATGGCGTGATATCCTGGAGCTAAAAGTCGATTTACCATATGTTAGGCTTAATTTTAACCCATTAACAACTAGCTTTTGCAATACTTAGTTTTTGACAAGCGTTCGGCAATAAGATTGTAGTCCTGTAAACTTTGGCAGTATTCCTGTATTTTTGTGTGGGATTCAACTTAATAGTCCACTATTCTAGAGTAAATCCAGTATTCCAAAGCCAATGGCCAATAGTCCACAGTTGATCCAGTGGTAGTAGTAGAAAATTTTCAGTAATCCAGTGTAATTCTCACAAGAGTCTGGTAGTCTAGTCACACTTAATTATTAATTGTAACAAACTGTAACTGTAAATAATAGTTAATAATTGTCTAATTTTAATAAAATAGTTACATTCAAATTTTCACCGGCTGCTCAACTCTGCTCTCTTTTCTCATTGACTTTCTCTTTGTGCTATTTGTGCTAACTTAGATCTAGTAGATACACATTAGTCTAGCACTAAGGTAAAACTGATAGTTATGCAAGTGTTTGCACAGTAATCTCATGCAGTTTGTTTTGACATTTAGAACTGGTTTACTGACATTGGACTCATAACTGAAGATCCCTAAGCCTTGATTCATTATATAATATCCACTACTGCAAGAGTTTGTAGACCATTACTGCAACTGAGTGACACATACAATGCTTAATTGTCTTAACCTAATCAGTGTATATCTACCCAGTACTGTCACAATCATCACTATAGCTCTTTTGAGGTAAACTAGATACATTCAAGCTGCCTCTCAGCTCCTTGTTTGATTTTAAATAGAGTCAAATGGATTTAAGAACAGGACTGACAGTCACAGAAAACAAGACAGCTGATGATCATGATATAAATAATACAGTTGCTTCAAGCACATACGCAAGTAACACCATGTAATGGTATTACAATTGTAATCAATTGCCTTGTAATTTGCAGTCTGTTATAAGTCACATTTAGATGCCATGAAGGAAGAGCTACTTAAATAGATGGTGAATTGCTTATCATTAGCTGGGTTTGATAACATACATGCAGTCTGTTCTATGACGTTTTCACCTGATGAACATAATTCCATTACTAATTGAAGAGTATAATGAAGAAAGAAATACCTGCTGTCTTGTTTAGGCCCATATTTCCTTGCAGATACATCATTACCGTTTGAGTTTTCAATGAGTCCCATTCGTCTATTTGTAATAAGTACATGCAATCAAAAGTTGGGTCAAAAAATAAAAGCTCAGTGGCAAATGAAAAGACTTCTGAAATACTGAAAGTCATTCGAATAGAAGTCATTTCCACAGTCTCTAATGATGTTACAAGGAAAGTTTCACAGTGGCTTTCAAGTTATAATAATGGAAAGTTTTGCTGATTGCAAGATGGGGAAAATTGTGAAATAGTCGTAAAAGGTCATTGTCTGATTCGAGTACCTCAGAATGTACAGTTGCCATAAAATGTCACCACTGTCCAAGAATTGAAAAATCCGTAATAAATGTACAGCGAAGACAGACAGGTACCAATCAGTGGTCTATCACCAATTGGTTCAAGCACTTCAAAAATTGAAACAAGAAAATAAAGGAACATGATATACACTAGCTTCTTTAACTGAGCCAGCCCTGTTTAAAGTGGGCCATCACAGTTTTATTTGATAGGGTAAACAGTAACAAAACTGAGCTGAAATGAGCTGGGCCAAACCAGGCCAGCATGGTTAGTAGAACAGGGCCAGTTCAGCCTAGTTCAGCATGGTTTGGCCCACTTCTGTAGTGTAATTGCAGCAATAGTTTACATTTTTTTCCTTCTCCCTTCAAAACCAAATGATATTGTTCAAAATACCTCTTTCTTTAGTGAAACACTATTCAATGGTAACGAATCTCCTCATCCAATATCATTATATAAAACAAGTCCCTGTTTCTCCTCTCACTGCTATTACTGTACAAGTAGAACACACCCAGTCATCTTCCTTATTTCAACAATTGTTGCTGATCATAACCAAGATCACCTTACAGTATCATCTGGAACCGCATCATTGTCTGTTTTGTCAGCACCTCCCACATTGCCTCCCTCTATTTTACATGTGACCTCATTAACACCACAAACAACACTAATGCCAACAACAACAGCAATGCCAACCACAGCTACTGCTTCACCTTCACAAAGCCAGGTTATTCAGTAAGCCCCTCTTCCAAATGTGGAAGAGGGGCAAAATGCACTTATACAGATTGGTCACGGGAGGCACAAAAGAAGAGAAAGTTGAAG